ATTCACATGTGGTGCCACACCCTCTGGTGACAAGTAATCATCTGAAAACCTGGCATCAGTTTTTGTTGGAGACATCTGTTCTAAATCAATGTGTTTTCATTTCTAGGTAAAAGCATATGATTCTATACCTGTTTTCCTTCAAATTCGAGCAAATACTGGTCCCACATTAACAAAAGTTGTCAAAAATCAAATGCAAGAACTTATCCTGTTCCCTATAAAATAGCTAGCCCTACTCTACCAAAAAAGAAAAGAATAATAAAAGGCAAAAAAAAAAACAAAACAAAAAAGCACCCTGATATTTACTACTTCAACTATTAAAATAGCTAAATTAGTATCTTAAAGACATCTGTGTTACATCACCAATGAAAACTTCTGAAAAAAATTAATAGGGCTTTCAAGGCTTCAGCCAAACCTTTCTTTAAAAATAATGAAAAACAGCCATAAATTTGGACAACTGTAGGTGATGTATTTTTTGTGTGGTTTAGAATTTTTTAATTCAATATAAAAGACCTTTTGGAACGACAATTAGAATTTATTTTTATTGTCTCTTGTGATCTCCCTTCATGTTAACATCGATTTGGTATTGTCCTCCCTAAGAGATTATTTGCTATCTAACTGGAATGAGATGGAACCTCGAGGAAAGGGTGGGAATGGAAGGACCAACATTCCTCAGAACATTCCCATTCACTGATATGAATGTGTGTGGCCTTTTGAATGCCTTCTGACATGACGGACTAATCAGCATTAACTTACAACATTTTATTGGTTTCAGGCGTAGAACATGATGCGATATTTGTACATGATGCGATATTTGTATATATTGTAAAATGACCACCACAGTAAGCCCCCCTGGGGGGGGGGGGGGGGGAGGGGGGAGCGGGGTCTTTCAAAAGAATCAATGCTCCCTGGTCAGTGCCTCCCTGGTCTTGGTTGGTTACAACTCTCTTCCAAACCCTGATTAGTCTAAGGTACATCAGAATCTTCTGGATTTTTAAAATACTAACACAGGGCACGGGGCGAAGTTCTAATTCCACTGGTCTAGAGAGGAGGAAGGTAACAGTGCAAAGATGGGAAGGTGTGGTGTCCTAAACAGCATCCCCAAACAGCCTCAATCTGTACCCCTCCGGGCCTCTTAGTGATAAATCGTCCTTGTTGGGGGGCAGTTGGGAGAGGGGCTCCATTTCAGGCTGCAATGCCAGGGGTGGGGGCTGACCACACCTGTCCAATTCTCCTGGTCACTGTTGTACTGCTCAATGCAGAACAAGAGGAACGGAGGACAGGGGACCTGCAGGTAAACCATTTATAACCAAACCACCCTGACCCTTTGGGTGAGTCAGAAGTATTGGGCCAAGGGGCCCGAAAGGCCAATGCAATCTTCAAGCTCACAGAGGACCCTTCTACTCCAGGAGTAAGAAGGTTGCCCAGTGGATGGGGACTAATAAGGGGAAACAAAAGGCAAGTGGTGCAGAACCCCAAGAAAAGGAAATTTTTAAAAAAAATGAGTTCCCCATCCTACACAAGCAGTATGAATGAATCTTGTAATCTCCAAGAAGTCCTGACTGAGAAGTATAGTTTTAAAGCGAATGGAAAACGGATCAAGTCTAACCATGGCAAAGTGGGGTGTGTCCTCTCTGGGAAGTTTTCATTCTCCCCCAAGCCTGGGTTTCCACATGTCCTTGGCCACAAAACGTACTAAGCCGCATGATTCCCTAGAGCCGTGGTGGGCAAACTGCGGCTCGCGAGCCACACGCGGCTCTTTGGCCCCTTGAGTGTGGCTCTTCCACAAATACCACGTGCGGGCGTGCACGTACAGTGCGATTGAAACTTCGTGACCCATGCGCAGAAGTCGGTTTTCGGCCTGGACGAGTCTATTTTGAAGAAGTACTGTTGATATTTGGCTCTGTTGACTAATGAGTTTGCCCACCACTGCCCTAGAGGATATCTGAACCTTATCTGGAGTTAACCAATGGGACAGCACCCTTACAAAAACCTAAATTAAAAAGCTACCATTGGCCAAAACTGGTTTGGCTCAGTGGATAGAGCGTCGGCCTGCGGACTCAAGGGTCCCGGGTTCGATTCCGGTCAAGGGCATGTACCTGGGTTGCGGGCACATCCCCAGTGGGGCGTGTGCAGGAGGCAGCTGATCGATGTTTCTCTCTCATCGATGTTTCTAACTCTCTATCTCTCTCCCTTCCTCTCTGTAAAACATCAATAAAATATATTAAAAAAAAAAAAAAAAAAGCTACCATTGCCCTAGCTGGTTTGGCTCAGTTCATAGAGCATCAGCCTGGGGACTGAAGGGTCCTGGACTCGATTCATTCAAGGGCACATGCCCAGGTTACAGGCTCGATCCCCAGTAGGGGGCGTGCAGGAGGCCGTCGATCAATGATTCTCTCTCATCATTGATGTTTCTAACTCTCTCTCCCTCTCCCTTCCTCTCTGAAATCAATAAAAAATAAATAAATTTTTTAAAAAGCTACCATAAAAAATGTTCATTATATGACCGGCCGGTCAACTTTTCCCTTCCTCTCTCTGCTGTAAAAGCAGCCGTTTGCTTAGAAGTGCTGTGTTCTCACAGGAATGTGCCAAACCACCACCCTTTCCCTCCTGAATCCACCGACCCCCTCCCCAGCAGACCTGCATATCAGATATTACTTCCTGCTGTCTATGACCACACCACCTTGGCAGTTAACATCAAAAACAAACACACGGGGAGAACAGAAGGCAATGTTTCATCAACTTTTTTTTGCTGGTGCCCAGGTGTAAAAACCTGGGAACATCACATGTATTTCAACTTTTCATCTAAGGGCTCATCTTCCCTCTCTCAGGATGGTGAGCTGAAGGGGGCCCTGCTCTGCCTCCATCCCTACCCTCCTGTCCCCGAGGGTGGAAACCACACAGGCACAGTGTTTAGGCAAGCTCATCTATCTCAGCCCAGGACAGGGACTAACCAAGGCTAGCAATATAGTCAATGGTTTCAACATGGGCCACATTCACCCGTATACTGAGTAGGTTACCACCATCTTTCTCCTATCTCCCGAGGGCCCCACAACTCGAGGGTAGCAATTGCCATGAATGTTTAACACAGCACCCCAAACAGGACTGGAACCACAGTCAGGTGACATCTGTGCCCTGAAATATCCCGAATCACCAACTGGCTGTGTGACCCTGGGTTCCTCATTCAGCCTCTCTGGACTGCAATTTATGTGTAAAAGAAGGGAGCTGAGCTGGTATTTTCCCAAGATTCTCTCCAGTTCTACAATTAGATGGTCAAGTTGCAACCATTTTACTCTATTTAGAAAGAGCAATGTATCCTCTACCTCACAAGGACACATAATAGCTTTCCATAGTTAGTCTCTGCCCACTGGACCAGCTCTTTCGCTGAGCTCCCCCAGCAGAAACCTGGGGGTGGAGTTTCCCTGTCTATGGAATAAAACCTTTGGCCACAAGTTGCCTCCTCCCCAACTTGCCTCCCCCAAATACCAGCACCGTCTTTAGATGAGTCCTTTAAACTCAAGCCCCCGGCCCCCCCGCCCCCTTATTAACGGTGCACATTCATCCCCTGGGCTGATGCTGAAGTATGGTACCTATTTGCTTTGTTTAACAATGGACAGGTTATTTTGATTTTCTGAATTATATAAATCATCCCATTCGATTAAATGCCTTATTGATTGTAACGTGAATATCCCATGGGTTGTGATCATACTGGTCTTAGAAAGCACATTTTTCCTTCACCGGGGAAGGACAGCACAGTTATCCCAAGGTCAGAGGGCTCTAGACCCAAAACTGTAATTTAGATAACATGCCTAAGTTTAACCCAGGTTACCCAAGGGCTCTAGATAATGTGTTTATAATATGCTGTTTAAACTGCTTTTTGCAAACTAGGTTCCTCATTCCAGACCAGAGGGCTCTAGATAAAGTATTTCTGTCAATTCAGTGACCCCGAGACCCAAAACTATAATTAACATGCTTAATTCTGCTTCTGTAAACTGCTTTTTGCGAGCCAAGTTCCTCATTACAAACCCTGGGATGTAATCAATACCTTTGTGATTTTTTGCCTATATAACCTTGGAGCTGCGACCATCTTGTTACTATGAGATTTGGGGAATGGCCCCTCATAGTCCCGGATTGCAATAAATGTGACTCTTTAATTCGACTTCTTGAGGCGTCCTTCTGTGATTCGCGGGGTACATTACAACAATGCAGCAAGAGGTATTTTAATTTCTTCTTTGTATTTGTCTCTATTAAAAAAAGATTATTATACTAAGAATGAGTTTTTAAACATGAACTGTCCTTGCAATATCTGGAATTATAAGAGTTCTTCAATATTATATGATTCAAGCTCTTTATTTTAGAGATGAGAAAACTGAGTCCAGAGAAGAAGCTCGACACCTTGCCTAAGGTCCTACAGCAGGGTGGTGGCAAAGAGGGAGGGGACCTCCGTTTCCTGACTCCCACCTTACTCCACATGGCAACCGAGTACCCACCTTCTTTGCTACTTGGTACCCATCAAGAGCTTCCAGTGTTGGGTGTATCCTCTTTTGCACAATAAATAAAGAGTTGTGTGCTGCACAGCACACATGTTTGATAAATGCTGATGTAAGTGGGGAGAGGAAAGAGCTGGAATAGAGGAGACGCACTCCCTCAGCTCTCCCTCCTCTCATGAGAAGACCTAACTTGATGCCACGTCTCTAGGGGAGAGGTCCTGAGGCTCATTTTCAACTCTCCCTTCCACCTGCGACAACACTGGTCCTCTGCTTGCCTTCAGGCCTTCCACTCAAACCCTCCTGCCGTGGGACCACACCCTCTACACATGCGTCCCCCAGAGAAGGAGCGTGCATCTTCTCTTCCATCTAGCATGCGGGTCACAACTTTCTCAGGAGAGCACTCAAAGGGAGAAAATTCAGGGACTGGCCCCTTCTCCCCAGGGATTATAGTTGTGCCTTTTAATAACTGTGAGTTGAGAAAAATACAACAAACATCCACAGTGAATTCAGCAGTATTTTAATGAGGTTGTATTTTCTTATTCCATAAATACATTGAAAGAGAGTAACACAGATATATATGGGTGTCTTTATGTATTTGGTTCACAAACAATACTTAAGAGTGCTTGCTGATGGGCTCCCAGCCACTCGTTTGGGAACTGCTGGGTGGTGGCATCAGTTCAAGACTTCAGAGGGGGTGTCTAAATGCTGGGGAGCGGCCTTAAGTCTCATACCACCTCTGTCTAACAGAAAAGTGTGACAGGCAACTGCAAAGTCAACCAGAAGGGATGGCCACTCAGCTCACTCAGCTTTCCCACTGCGTTTACCTCCACTTGGTAGGTCAGAGGCACTGGTATTTTTAGAACCTCTTTTTGGAGGAAACAAAGGATCTCTCACTTCAGTCCTCTGGTCTATTCTTGGCTTTCCTAGCCATGCTGCCAGAAGAAAGGCCCATTCCCAATTCATATTCCAGTCTCTTCCCCATCTCTCCCCAGGAATTATCTCTAAAGAGACAAGTGATGGCTAATTTGCATTTTAACCCTATTCAAATTTGGGTAAATGGTTTAATATGCATGCTAATATTCTATCATTATTCCAATTAAGAAAACTATTATGTTAAAGTGTTTAATCAGGAGAATTAGGGAGAACTCCAGACACCTAAAATTAACCTCTAATAGTCTTGACATTCATTTCATTTAAGTGCAATTTGCCAAGCTATAAGCAACTCCCTGTTTAAGACTTCTGCTTAGGCACGTGGGGATTCCTGATAAGACCTAAAAGCAATTCATTTCCTAACTAGATTGCTGTCTAAAAGAATAAACTGAAAGGGCTGCAATTTAAATACAATCAAATCCCCAAGCAGCCACATTCCAGAAGATTTAAACATCATGATCTTGATCCCCAGGAACAACAATGCAATTCGCATCAGAAACAACACAACCACTTCCTCTTTCTCTGACCTTCTCTGTTTAATTACTTCCTGTGATTTCTTCTAGGGCTGAGCGTGCCCGCTTCCCAGGGCGGCAGGCTTTCCACACAAGACTGATTTGTCTGGAGGGTACGGGAGTGCCAGCTGACTATCAGACATTACAAACCCAGTGCAGGAACTTCGCATTTCTTGTTAAGTGATGGAACTCTTGGGTCTCCTGGCATTCACTAACAACTTTTTTAAGCCCTAAGAAAAGAAAAGAAAAAAAAATTTCCACACAGTCCTGTCTAAAATCAAGCTATACCTCAAAGCTGGAAGTCCTGCCGGGGATAGGGAAGGGCAGGAGCTTGGTAAAGGCTCTCTGTGTATTTTGTTCAATGAGCTTCCTCAACAGATCCCAAAAGCCAGGTATGTGAGTTGCCTCTGAAGACACAAACCTGGCAGCCGTGAGCTCCCTATCATCCCACCATAGAGAGGCCCTGGCTACTCAAAGTGGAGTCCATGGATCAGCAGCACCAGCAGCACCTGCAAGTTTGTTAAAAATGCAAAATCTCAGGCCTGACTGAAACACAGTCCCCATTTTACAAGATTCCCAGGTGGTTCCCTATGCACGTTCAAGTTTAACCCCCCTCTCAAACAGCTAGGCTAAAACGCAGGGCCAGGAAGACTACTGTGCTTTGTTAAGCCTTCTGCTCACACACACTTTTCCCACCAAGGGTAAGGTAGTTAGTTCCTGTTCCAAAAGAGGTACCAGTAGAGCTGCTCTTTATATCAGTACTAGAAGCCCGGTGCATGAATTCGTGCACGGGTGGGGTCCAGCCAGGCCTGCCCCTATGGGGGCCCACCGGGGGTGGGGCTGGCCGGGGGAAGGAGCCGAGGGAGTGCTCCAGGGCGTGTCTGGCCCGTCTTGCTTAGTTCCAATCGGACGGACCCCAGCAGCAAGCTAAACTACCTGTTGGAGTGTCTGCCCTCTGGTGGTCAGTGCACATCATAGCAACTGGTCGACTGGTTGACTAGCATATTACACTTTGATTGGTTGAACAGACAACCGGACGACCAGACACTTAGCATATTAGGCTTTTATTATATAGGATAGAACAGGCCACCTCAGTGGGCACTGGTTCCCTGCTCCACAGAGCGAAAAGAAGAATGTGATGAAGAAATGACACCTCACAGCTTTGAGGCGTTTACAGGATTCTTAAGTAAATTCTAATGTCATTCACTCCACAGTAATATAAACCAAGCTGTACACTCAGCACGTATTTGTATAAGAGAAAACTGAGGCTCTGTGAAGTCATAATACACAATGTTGTTCTACAGACATGGGATTTGAAGTCAAAGGATCTGGGTTAAAAATAACAAAGTCTGCTCTGTGACCCCAGACAAGATACTTAACCTCTCTGAGTCTTTTCCCTGCCTGCAGTTTGTGGACGCTTGGCTAACATACATATCCCATCTTTGTGTGCTTGTGCGAGTACTTGTCCACACCACATACACTCCCCTTAAATATAACTTGTAGGACGTGTTGGGGATTCTATCCCCCTACCCAAATCTGGGAGTTCCAAGGCCTGCAGGAGGGAACCTGCAAAAAGATGGGAAGGGAAGGGAAAACACGTCTGCAGCCACCAGACAATCATCACACACCCTTAAGGCGTGTGCAAGTGCCAAGGACCCTCGAGCGTAAACTCCCTGAGGGCAGAGAGGTCTCTGAGTCACAGTTCCGTTAACTGTCTGGGAGATTAGGTGTCTGGTACGTTTGTTGCAGTAAGTGAATGGCACTCAACAGCTAGTGGCTCCCTTTCCTACAGCTTCACCCACACTGTTACTTATTTTATTCAATAAGATAATTTATATATGGCTTTGTAACTAGAGTCCAAGTATGCTCTAAAGTCAAGTTTTTTTGGAATCAAAGTCTACCACACTCCAAATGGACACCTGTAATTCCAGTACCTCCTAAGTTTCCTTAGTGTAAAAGACATCTAAGAATGGATGGTACAGGATGCAAAGCTGGTTTACAAATGGCAGAGTCCTGATCTAAAACCTGTGCACGCACAGATAAATGAGAAGGCAACCATTAGGCCTTCAGAGCCAGACGTAACATGGAGCCGGTGTTCCTGGTAAAGCAGACTTGGTTTGGAATTTTGAGCCTGAGAAAAGTCACAGGTTTGATTCATGCTATTAAGCAAAAGAGAGAAATTTAATTACTATAGTAAGACTATATGCACACTTAAGTGGCTTCAAAAGGTCTGTAAAAATGACTAAAATTATTGGGATGTTGATGACTAAATTAAACCTCCGGTCCAGCATCCATGTTATTCCTTGGCCGGAAATATAAAATGCAAACACCAACATAGCATACAAGTAGACAAAACAAGTCATAAGCCACCTGATTCCTAAGATAACCCTTGGCCCGCCCATCCCCACCAAGACTATTGCCTCTTGTTTTGGAAACTATTTGAACGCCACTGGTAATATGATTTCTAGACCACAGTTAAGGATGGCAAGAGAGCCAAGGATGCTACTAGAGGTAAGATTACTGACAGTAAGAGAGGAGACAAGCTACTAAAAACATAAACTCTCAAAAAGCATAGCCAACTAGGATCATTGAGTAAAGGGGCCAATAGACAGCTGGGCATTACTGATACTATAATATAAAATCTAAGCTGCTGTTAGAGGGGCCTACCAGGACAGCACTGGAAGGCCAAATGAAAAGAACGTGACTTCTAATTATCCCACAAACCCCCCCTGAGCAAGTCACTTCCATTCTCTTAACTATAAAGTGGGAGCCCCATTTCCTGCCTCAAAAGGTTGCTATGAGGCTAGCATAGTTAATGGGTATTCTCTCCCTTGTAAATTCTGAAGGGAAATGATTGCTTGCTACATGATGTAAGACCTACCAAAGGTGGATGAGCCACTGATTTCCCAATTCATCAGGTGCTGTGCTACAATACTTCACATTGCCACTTTTTGACCATTTGTCAAGTAGGTAGCAGAATGAACTTTGATTACATTAACCCAGGACTCATGGCTCAGGATACTTTTCAGGGTCCCTGAGTTAATGGAGAGTTGGGGCAGGGTATCACCCCAAAGACCATGTTTCTTCTACTACCATCATGCAGCCGGCCCTTCATGGTAATTTTTAAAAAGCAACCTCAAAGTCTTTTTGGATGTTGGTACAATATGAATAACTGTTTAAATTTTTACATAAGGTAAAATGATTTTTAAATTAATGACTCTTTACTTTAACCAATCAATAAACATTTGCAGAAAGCCTTCTATGGGCAGCAAGCCTAAAAGGGTTAATATAAGCTATTACTCCCATAGTAGACGGGCAGATGGGTCTTGCTTCTATGTATTTCTGTTAGGGTAGGATACAAATACAAAATAAATAGTGCTTATCTGAAAAATCGATGCTGGAGGCCAGAGTCAAAGCAATGCAAGGAGAAAAAGAAATAAGAGTAATAAACAATGAAAATGAAAAGACAGCCCTAGCTGGTTTAGCTCAGTGGATAGAGCATCAGCTCTCAGATTGAAGGGTCCTGGGTTCGATTCCGGTCAAGGGCACATACCTCAGTTGCAGGCTTGATCCCTGTGAGAGGCAACCAATAGGTGTGTCTTTCTCACATCAATGTTTCTCTCTGTCTCTTCCCTCCCTTACACTCTCTAAAAATCAATAGAAAAATATCCTCGAGTGAGGATTAACAAAAAAAAGAAGAAAGAAAGAAAGAAAGAAAGAAAGAAAGAAAGAAGAAAGAAAGAAAGAAAGAAAGAAAGAAAGAAAGAAAGAAAGAAAGAAAGAAAGAGAAAGATAAAGAAAGAATGAAAGAAAGAAAGAAAGAAAGAAAGAAAGAAAGAAAGAAAGAAAGAAAGAAAGAAAGAAGAAAATGAAAAGACAAAAATGTCACTACTAGATGAACTTGGAAAGACAATTTAAAAACTTAACCTGATAATTAAGTTTTAAGCATTTATGAATGGAGCACAGGAAATATACCTAAGCATGAAAACAACCAGATTTGAAAAATCATTATTTCAGTACACAGAGGAGCCAAAGCCATACTTTTTAGAGGCTACCCAGATTGCTCTAATCTCTTCAATCACAAGTACCAAATGCTAAAGTCAAAATCCATTATGTTACCTCTAGGCTCTAAGTGCATGTAAACAGAAACTTTGTTTTGAAATAAGTATTCAACTACCCTTTGAGAGTAGCATAACGAACATAAACACAATTTGCTATCGTGGGTGCACTATGCCACATGTGAATATACTGCTGACAAAGATTACCTGAGAAATGAGTGGTTAGAACACAGTTGTTGTTCCTCAACTCTTACACCAGTAACTACCAGGGATTTTACTAAGATCCTGGCCAGACTTCCTTTCCAGGACATGGGACACATCAAGCGGTGGTAACAATCCTTCAGGCCTACCCAGGCAAGCCCAAGAAAATGCATTTGCTCCACAGAGCATTGTATGCACCAGGGCAAAATACTCCTTCTACTCCCAGCGACTAACAGCCCTAGAGGGTGCCTTAAAAAAAATCATCAATGTCCTAGCTTTAAATATTGATTAAAAAGAAATATTTACAAGAAGAGTCATCAAGTTTATCAATATGACTGGGTCTTTAAAAAAAAAAAGTCTCAGCCCAATTTACTTAAGAGAAAATAAGCCAAAACAAACAACCACACACACCAACACTTCCTGCTCTGCCTCTATTATCATCTTGTTCGGTTTGGGAGGATTTTGCTGTTAGATTGTGTATTTGTGTTCAGCCCAGTAACATAGGAACTATGCCAATACTGGAGTTCATCAGCACAGCTGTCTCCAACTTCAAGTGTGAAGACTCCATCAGAACCCTGCGGCTACTGCAAATTGTTAATATTGTGATTTCTGCAGAGATTCTCCTGCAGAGGCAGAAACACAGGCCCTGGCCTATTGCGTTCTACTTCCCAGTTCTATTGCTTCTACTTCCCAGTTCCTAGAACAGTGATTGGAATCAACATGGTTTTGAGTTGTCAATCACATATCGCCACCACCAGACAGTTCTGCACCCAATTTCCACAAACCACTCCAAGGGCTTCATGTAAACATGGCAGTTCCTCAGAGGGAGGCTTCTCCACACCCTAGTTAACCAAATACAATTATAATTGTTGCATTAGTCGACAGGGATGAAACCGCATTTTAAAAAAGAATTAAATCCATTTTTAACCAACAGACTTTTATTCAAACACTTAAAAAAAAATGTCTGCTGTCTTAGGCAAGTAACTACAACTCCTTCCCAGGGTTATTTGAAAATTAGCAAGCTGAGCCTGTAAAATTCCTACCTCAGTGCTCCCTAGAGTCACACCGGACATTTGTTTTATGTTTGGTGCTAGATTGTAAATTTTACATAAACTATCTCATTTAATTCTCACAGCAACTTCATGAGATCACTAATATTTATTCCTATTTTATTCACACTCAGATAAAACCTAGGTGGGATCAGAAAGTGTGCAAATGGCTGAGCTTTGCACTGTAAGTATTTTTCACGAGTGGCATTTAACACGGGATCTTTGACTGGCTCCTGGCTGAAATAACCAGTTATAAAAGACATTTCCCAGAGAATTGAGACTGAGTGTTAAAGACATCAGGGAATTATTCTTAATTTTGTTAAGTGTGCTGATGGTATTGTGGTTTCACCCAAGAGTATTCTCACCTTTTTGGGAAGTAAGCTCAAGTATTTAATTAATTTATTTTTTAAATATATTTTTTATTGTTGATAGTATTTAAGTATTTATTTTTATTTTTTTGTTAATCTTCACCCAAGGATATTTTTCCATTAATTTTTAGAGAGAGTGGAAAAGAGGGGGAGAGACAGAGAGAGAGAGGGAAACATTGATGTGCATTGATTGGTTGCCTCCCTCATAACACCCTGACCAGGGCTGGGGATCAAGCCCCCAACTGAGACACACACGTGCCCTTGACCAGAACCGAACCCAGGACCCTTCAGTCTGTGGGCCGATGCTCTAACTAATCACTGAGCCAAACTGACTAAGCTCAAATATTTAAATGTGAGTTCTGATGTCTAATTTTGAAATGGTTCCACAAAAATAATTAAGCTTTTTTTTTTTTTTAAATGAGAAACCTTTCAACATTAGGAGTATGACTGCAGGCAAAGCTGCAAATCCATTCTCTCAGCAAGATGTGTGTTCAGAAGAGGAACAGAATAAAAAAGCTGAATGAAAACCTGATGTCTCCGAGGTTATAGCTCACTTGAGAAGATTTCTTCATTTTTTGTCTGCAAATTTCCAAACCACATAGAGCCATGATCAAATGCTTTAAAGATATGGTATGACTTAAAAAAAATTTTCTACTCCTATGTATAAAAGACCACTTTCCATATTTTGTTTATGGTCTTTAATTTTTAAAATATAAAAAAATGTGTAGAATTGTTCATCTTAACATGCATTTCTAATTGGAGTGGGATCAAAGAAGAGTCAATGTAGTTTTTATATAAAAGCTAATTTTTAGGACCATCAGTGAATAGAACAGACAAGCTTTCCTGAATTACTATATATTTATCAGAGAGGAGCTTCAAATTGACGTGGAAGAGAACATTAGAAGACAAAACATTTATTTTTTAATTAAGCATGATTTTACCAGTTATTAAGATTCTGATTTATTATATTCTGATGTGAAATATACCAGACATTTAAGAAAAATATGTGGAAGAAAATCTATTTTACCTAAGGCACAAATATAACTTCCCTAGGTCTCCAGTTTATTGTCACCAATTCTTTTTAAGTAACAAAATCTGCCTATTTCCAAAAGTATCTGAGGGACCTCAAACACGAAATCATTAGAAGGGAAAATAGATCAAAATTTATAGAGGAGTAAATAAGTCTAGCAAGAAACCTAGGCCAATATGGCTACCCTGATCAAGCAATAATTTTGGCCCTGAGCTTCCAGACAGTCGTAGCAAAAAGAAAAGACAATCACAGCAAGCCCTGTAACCCAAACAGAAACCTTCTTTCTGGTACTAATATTTAAAAGAAAATTTTCAGATGGGTCATTACATAAGAATATGGAACAATATAGTAGAGTGTCCACAAATGCCAGTTTATAGCACGTGCAGCCTGCTCTCTGACCGGGCATTCCATGTCTCATGCCAAGGTCATTACATTAAAAGTAATCCTGACAAAGCTGTGCAGTGGGCTAAGGGGCCACAGCTTTCTGATTTTCTCAAACCAGAACGTGTCCTCAAATAGCCATTGTCTCAACTGGGCTTCTGACAGCAGTGGGGGCAGCCAGTTCTCCATGTTGAACTGCTCTGAAAGCCTGGAATAGAGATATTTATTTCTTGCTGGTGATCCCACTCGAAGTCCTTTTGCTTCTTTGGATACCAGATAACATGCTGCCGTGAAAAGGGAGAGGCCAGGCCGGGATTCACAAGGGATGGAGCCAAGGAACCCAACCTAGGGTGGTTGAGTCGGTCTTTGCTATTTGTGCGTGCAGGGACAAAGGAGGACCCACACAAATACCTATTACTAACCAAGTCCTGAAGGGGTTAAGGCCCAGCAGCATATAACTCCCCTCCATTATTTCAGCCTAGAAACAACTTTTTTTTTTCCACTTTCCCATTTCAAGATAGTCTACGAAGGCCAAGCAAAATGTCTAAAACAGAAGGGCCAGCAGATGTAGTGGGATGGCCACAACATATACACCAGGCGGGATCCTCTCCAGCTATGGGTGTCCAGCAGACTAGGGGTTACTGCAATCAACGCTCCCCAGGGACCCACAGGAAAGGAAATTCCCTTTCCCCAAGACTAGCCCTCCCAACACCCCCTCCCTCCTAGCCTGGCAACAGCAGACGCCGAAGGATAAAGGGGCATTAAAAAAAGGAGTAGATTCTTAGAGTAGATCACAGCATTCTGTCACCTGCTGCAAGAGAAGCCTTCTCGCCCAAGCCCTGAGTCACTTCCCCTCTCTGCACCGAGTCTCAATGCTCAAGGAGGCAAAAGACCGGGGCCTCAGGAGCTGTCTACCCGCAGGCCCCACGCCCCCAGAGACACTCCCGGGGCCTCCCTCTAGGGGTAGTTTCCGCGGCTTCGAACAGGGTCTTTGCGCCGAAGCCGCCGCCGCCACTACCTTGGCTAAATGGCAGGCAGCTCTGAATGAAAGGAGCCGAGGCAGGCTCCGGATTTATGAATGTGCAGGGGAGGAGGGGAGGGCTATCATGTGACAATAAAGGAGAACGTCTTATTCACAAAAAAAAGGGAAAAAATAAAAGAAGAAAAAAAGTGGCTGGTGGCGGGCATAGCCGCTGAGTAGTGGCGGCCGCTGTGCAGTGACCGCTCGGACCCGAGGCCGACGACCTCAGGCGCCGGGCCCAGCGGCCTAGCCTGCGTTGCACCCGCAACTGGAACGGCCTCCGGCGGGGCTGGGGAAGAATCAAACCCGACTCTGCGACCGAGAGGCTGCAGGGAGCTGCACCTTGGCCAGGGCCTGGAGAACTGCATGCGTCCCCGGGGGGCGACGGGTCTGGCAGGGAGCCCCTAGGGCGGAGCGCCCGGAGCATTGTTACCCTCGGACTCGCGGGGCCCGGCACGCACTCGGATGCACGGGCGCACACACAGACCCCCCCCCGCACACACACACACACACACACACACACACACACTGGCCCGCACCGTACTGCCCCGCAGGATCCCGCCCGCCCCCGCTGCTCACGCCTCGGGTCCGCCCCCCGAGCTACCGGACCCCGCGGGGCGCGGAGCGCGGGTCCGGGGCACACGAGCGCGTGCACACACGCCCGCACGCGCCGCCGGACCCCGGGGGCGGCTCCAGCACGCCCGCCAGCGCGAGGACCCGGGCGCACGCAGACCCCCGCACCCAGGGCTCCCCTCGCTCGGCCGTGTTTTTTATGAATGAAAATGTGGTATGCAAATGAGAGCGATTCAAGAAAACGAAATGGCGGAGCCTGGGCCCCAGAGGGCTCGGGAAAGGACCGCAGGGCGAGCAGCCGGGCGGGAGAATCACAAAGTCACCCAATAAAAAACCCACCGACCCCAGGAAACCGGAGCGGGGGTGTCAGGTCTTCCGCTCCGGCCGCCGAGGATTTCGGGACGGGGGGGGATGTTTGTAACTCCCCGGAGAGGGAGGGGGACCTCCCTGAGGTCACCAGTGCGCCCTTGGCCCCCGCAGCGGCGACCAGCCAGCCGACCCCAGGCGCGCCCCCGCCGGCCCACAGCAGTTTTTGCCCCCTCCTCACATCAACAAGGGGGGAAATCGCGCGTCCCAAACCCCACAGGCCAGCGAGTCGCTGCACCCCACGCCAAGTTCACCCAATGAGCGTCGCCCGCCGGCGTCCTCCGCCCCGACCCCCACACGGCCCCCGCGGGGCACACGCGTCCCACCCCGCGGCCGAACTTACTCGTCCGGGTGTGTTTCCTCGGTCATTTTCCTGTTCACCTAGACGCCTGTCCCGCGGCGGGCAGCTTTGCTCCCTTCATCTTCCTGCGCGCTCACCCCCTTCTTCACATCTCCGGAGATCGCCTGATTTGGCTGGGGAGGGGGGACGGCTGGAGATGAAGGGGGCGCCGCAGAAGGCAGAAGGGGAAGCTGCACGATCGAGCGCGGGTGGCTGGGGGGAAGCGGTGCAAAGGCGAGCTGCGGGAGGTCAGGGGCGCCGCGGCGCCGAGGGGCGAGGCGGGCGGGGGCTTCGGGGGCTCGGGAGCGGGCGGAGGGGGAGAGGTTGGGCCGGGGACGGCTGTGAGGGAGAGGAGGGAAAAAAAAACAAGCGCGCCGTGTAGCGGCGGAGACTGGTGAGAGGAGGAGAAGGGGGCCGGCCGCGGGTGGGGGCTCTGTCCGGGGTCGCCCCCGGGGGGGGGCGGGCCAATCACGGTTCCGGGGAGCGGTCGGCGGCCGGGGGAGGTGCGCCTGGGAGGCGGTGCAGGGCGCCCCGTCCGAGCCCCATCTCTCGACTCTACCGATTTACTCCATATTGGATTCTCACCGCCGCCAACAGGAGGAGGAAGTAGGGCGGAAGCGATGACGTCTTCCCAGCGGCCAGAGGTGGTGGAGTGCAAAAAGCTTCCTACTTGCGACCGAAAAAAAAATGAGAGAGAGCGGAGAAAAAAAGAAGAAAAAAAAACACACAACTTTGTCCCGTCTACTGAGCATGCCCGGCTTTCTCTCCCCCTCCCTTCTGGCTCCCACTCCCGGGGGAGCCGCGGAGCCGAGTTGTTTGCACCGCGTCTTTGTGACTCCGGATCCTCCTTCATCTGAACTCCGGGTTTTAAGATGCCCGGGAGGAGGGAGGAGGCGGGAGCGGGGGACTCGCGCACATCTGGCTCCCGTTCAGCTCCCTCCCTCCTACCAAACCCCTGGATTGAAAATCGGGGGGGTGGGGAGGAGGAGGAAGGGTGGAGACAGAGAGCTCAGGGTAGGGCCGGAGCGGTGCTCGGGCTCTGACGATCAACTACTCCCCCACCGAGGGGTGGGAGGGTGAGGGCGGCACAGGTGCTTTTGCCAAGGTTCTGAATGGCAGAGGCTTTTCAGTTTCCCGTGAATCTTATGATCTTTTTTTTTCTTTTGTCTTGGTAAGGGAACGGGCATTATTTTACGTAAAAAGAATAAAAGATAAGTCCAACGCAGCCGAGAAACGTTTGCATTTTAGTAGAAATGAAAGGCTTTCTTGGGTTAAAAGGTAAGCCCAAATATACATTTTTATTCAGTAAATCTTTCTCATGTTGGTGGAGGATGGCCCTGTCCCAGGCTCTTGAAGGCCATAGTTACTGGACCAGAGATTGCCAGCCCAGTGGCTTTGGAACAGTGAAATGGGGAGAAAAGAGATCCTCCAGTCCCCCTTTCCTTCCCTTTTTTTAAAACTATTTTTTTTATTGATTTCAGAGAGGAAGGGAGAGAAAGAAACGTCAATGATGAGAGAGAATCACTGATTGGCTACCTCCTGCACACCCCCTACTGGGGATCGAGCCCACAGCTGCAACCCGGGCATGTGCCCTTGATGGGGATCGAACCTGGGACCCTTCAGTCCGAAGGTCGACGCTCTATCCACTGAGCCAAACGGGCCAAGGCCCCTTTTCCTTCCCTTTATCTTCAAATTATTTTTTCGATCTTGTCCTGGGACCATGGCCTAGGTGGGCCCATGCTCTCCAAAACAGCACTGCCTGGGCAATGGGCAGGCCTTGCTTGCTGGGCATGCACCCTGCTCAGTTGCACAGGGACCTTTGCTTGTTTTTATGCTCTGTTGTTGGAGGCTTGGCATTCTTTATAGTGTTTGAACAAACAAGGGGCTCCACATTGTTATTTTGTAGTGGGCCCCACAATTTGCATAGCTGTTAGGTATTCCTTCTGGGATTTTGCTAGGGAGCAAGAGATACAGTCCCCAGTCCCCACACCTTCCTGCTCTCCAAACACAGACTTTTCCATCCTCCCAAATGTGCTAAGAGACTACACAGGTATTTTAACTAAATAGCAACCACTGAATGAATTTAAAGTAGATTAAACATACCTTACATGTAGTACACACACACACACACACACACACACACACACATTTGGAGAACCACAAGTGCTCCAAAGATAGAGTTTCACCTTGAGTCAAGGCAAAATTGGTGGTTTACCCTAACTTAGTGCTGATCACAACCATGAACTTTCTGGATATGGATCAGGCTTGACCACCTTTGATGCTGAGTGATGTTGTATGGTGGTGAGAAGGGCACCGGATGGAAGGCACACCTGGGTTCTGGTTTTCTCCTGGCAGCCTGAAGACCCTGAATGAAGCTTTTAGCAATTCTTCAGTTTCTTCATAAAACAGAGATAACAAGGCCAACGTTGTCTTTCTCAGCTTTTGAGGCCATTGAGAGTCTATGAGAAAGCACTGAACAGAGCAAGACCTCATTGGTCTCTAAAGCCCCATAAAGCTAAGGTGTCTATCCAGTTATCACCTTTGGCCATTGTTGCTTTTCTCCTAGAGTTGCTGAAAGAGGCCCCACTCAGTCATTCCTGGACTTCTGGGAACACAAACATTTGTCCATATCAAAATTACCCATCCAATGGGCACCTCTTTGGCTCCACCCTCCCGTTTTAGAAAGTCCAAATGACAAGGTGGCAGGTGAGGTGGTTATTCATTTCTGTAGGTAGCCAAGCAGAATTGGTGTCATCACCACTCATTTGCCCAGCTCCCTGCTAATAGCAGTGAATGACTGGCCCTGCCCTAACCAGGCAGCCAGAGGAGCTAAGAAAAACATTCAAGGTCCAGAATTCACCAGGTCCCTGGTTGGTTGCCCTGGTGCCACACTCCAGGAGGTTTTTAGGTTCTCTGAGCCTTGGGTTCAGTGTCTGTAGTGTCAGGATAATGCCCACAAATGGGGTCACTGGGAAGATTAAATGGCTATACAGTGAGGGTGCTGTGTTAAGCACACAGCAAGTAGGAAATTAATGGCAACCCTTTCTTCTTTCCAGGCAGCTGTATTACTATATTGCTACCCCCTCCACGCCGGGTACTTCATGTTCCTCTAAAGGAAACCTTCCAGTTTTCTTTTGCTTTGTTCATTTCCCAAAAGGGGCCTTTTGATGGAAATGTTCCTAACAGGTCACCTCTTGATCCTCCCCATCAATTACTAACTGTGCCATAGAAGAAGTGGCATATTGGGCGAATAATTCAGGTATGGTTACTGATCTGAATATCAGGATGTTATCAAAGTATACTGGATTGTTACCAGAATGGGGTTATCACGGATTTAGGGCTTTAATTTAATGACATTACTGAAAGAGCTAAACACCCATATCCCTGTCTCTCCCCCACAACCTCCAAAACGGGGAACAAGGCAGCTCTGAACACGATCAAATCAAGGGTGTCGACTCAGAGTGAGACAGTACAGCTTCAAAAGTAATGTGGATCTACTCACAACTTCACGTAAACCTAGCGGAGCCCCCAGCAAACCGCACCCCGCCACCTCTCAATCCCGAGTCCCGGGTGGGGCAGCACCCCCACCCGGGGCCTTCCCGCCGGCCGCCCGGAAAACGCGGAGCGCGGAACCGGAGCGACCCTCGGTGGCCCCGGGACGGGCATGCTCAGTAGACCCACAGGTCTTGTTTTACTCGGAAGCCGGTCGCGGCCCCCGCCCCCTCCCGCCCCGCACGGGAGTCGGGAGAAGCGGACATTTTATCCTCCTTGGCAATCTGCTCCCTTTCGAGTCCTTCGTCTCCTCTCTGCGTCCTCCCAGTTCTCGCCCATCGGGGTCTGGTAGGGCCGGGAGTGTAGATCTCCGGGGTGGGGGTAGCGGGGTGGGATCCGACAAATCACTCACCCTAACCCCCGAACCCCGGACGAGCAGGGGCGGGGGGGTGGCGGGCGGAGTGATTTGGAGAGGACTCTACTGTACCCGAAGGTGTGCGTGTGCCGGATCCCCCGAGACCCCCACCCTGACGCGGCACCCCTGCTCCGACCCGGCGAGGCGCGCGCAGCTGCGCCCGGGCCTGTCCTCATCTCACCCCCATTCTGCCCCTTCGCTATTTCTCAATGACTGGCGCTGGGAGGACACTTCCGACGGGGGAGGGAGAGGGTGTCATTAGCGCTCGGTTTATCAGTTCCTTCCGGTCTGCCGGAGCCCTGCCCCGCGCGCCTCCGGGCCGCGCCTCGGGCGCGCTGGTGCCTTTCGGATGATGTTTAAATAAGCAGTCCCGTGTGCCAGTGTGTGCCAAGCCAGTTTGTAGCCCAGCTGTCTCCCCCAAGACCCGCAGGCCGGAATGGAAACTCAAGCTCTCTCTCGTAATGAAGGGGATGATGCAAACTTAGTAACTGACCCGGCGGCCGGGAACGGCGCCCTCCCCCACCCGGCGCGCGGCGTCCCGGTCCGGGCATGAATGGCTGGAGCCAGATTGCACAATCTGCCGGGTATAAATAGCCGGCGGGCGGGCCGCTGACGCGCTCGCTCGCTCGTACCGTTATCGTGCAATACTTCAGCCCCGAAGCAGTTCACTCCCGGGTCATTTTCCCTTTCAGCTGCAATGCTGGGATTTTAAATAGCCGAGATGAAAGGCTCTTTTCCCTGCCTCCCTCCTCCCTGGAGTTCATTTATTATGAATGAACCGCCAACCTCGCGGCTTCCGGAGGTACTTTACTCCACTCCAGGTAGGAGAAAGACTCAATGTCACGGCCGCGGTCCACCCAAGCTTGTCGGGGTGCACGCGCCGGGGAGGGAGAGAAAGCAGGAAATGATTGACAGGCCTGGGAAACCTTGTCGAGAAAATGTAACCGCTTAGGGATTTCCTCTGGAGTTTCAATTTTTAACTCTGCAAGACTCGGTCATTTTAAGAGTGGGTTATGCAAAAGGTCTTTCGACTGCGGCTGCTTACTCTCCCCCCGTGGGCCGCAGCGTCTGTGCAGGTGCAGTTTCATTCAGAAGAACTGGTTCCCTTCCCCTGGGAGGCAGCAAACACTCTAAGAGCCTTAAGGGATATTGGAAGGTTGGGGAGAAATGCTAGCCCAGCCAGTTTGGTCATTTTCTTGTTCTAGAACTCTTCTTAGAAGCCTCCGCTACGTGCAAAGCTGAGAAAATCTAAAAACATATTCTTTCCAACTGTATTTTACAAATTTGTGGTCCTTGAAAGTATACAGAACTTTCTTTTCCCACTTCTCTTTAACACCAAATTTCAACTTAATTTCTCAAAATAAAATTACCAGTTCCTCACAGATTTCTGGCCTGCGAAAGGCAACGGTCAGGCTCATTATTTTTCAAATTGGATGCTCAGTCTTTTCCTGCATTTAAAGTTCGAGGTACTCCATGAGGCAATGGTTCCTGCCCTCTAGGAGTTCCATCAGATGGGGCAGTAGGCCTGTAGATAAAACGTTAGGGCAGCAATTGTCCACCTTCTTCATCTCATGGCACACATAAACTAATTAGTAAAATTCTCTGCCACACCAAAAAATATATTTTTTGCTGATCTAACAAGAAAAAAGGTATAATTTTGATTCATTCACACCTGGATGGTTATTGTTGTGTTGGCTCACATTTTTTAAAAATATACTTTTATTGATTTCAGAGAGGAAGGGAGAGGTAGAGAGATAGAAACATCAATGATCATAGAAAAAAAAAAAAAGAAAAAAAATGATCATAGAAATATCAATGGCGCCTCCAGCACACCCCACACTAGGGTTGAGCACGCAACCCCTGCATGTGCCCCTGGTTCATGGGTCAATGCTCAACCATTGAGCCACACCAGTGACAATCTAAGGAAAAAGAAGTCAGTGCCCCTGATTAAATAGTCAGGTATTGCATGTTTTAAGAATTCTTGAGGCACACCGGTTGAAAATCGTTGCTTAAGGGCAATGGAGTAACT